GGTAAAAGTTTATGGTTATTTTTATGGTGCATTTGAAAGCCATGCATACAGACACTACAATTCTTGAACCAACAAAAAGTACAAACTAATTGAAACAGATTTACGGTAACTTATAATTCATAATGGCAAGGACTATTTGACAAAAGGTGATTGTAGTGAAAAAAAGTGAACTTCCCGTGCTTTATTAGTGCATCTGTTGCCAAATGAGAGTTGCACCAAAGAGAGAATTCTGAGAATCTTTTCATGTAATCTCAAGTCGTTTCAAACCTGTATGACTTACTTTCTTCTGTGAACAACAAAAGATGATATTTTGAATAACGCTGGTAACCAAACTATTTTAAACACAATGGAAGCCATTGGGAGCCATTCTTCAAAATATCTTCTTTTGTGTTGAACAGATGAAAGTCAAACAGGTTTGAAAGGGCATGAGGGAAAGTAAATGGCAGAAATTTATTTTTGGGTGAACTATCCATTTAAAGCATTAAAGCCAAAGAAATCTGTTAAAACACTCCTAATCAGCATGTGTACCCAGCAGGAAGTCACATGTCAAGAGTAGGAAGCATGATATCTTCCCATTGAGCATCTAGCCAGAGTTAAATTTTGAGAGTTAGAATCAGGGACTTGCACTTACGAAACACGGTGCACTGTCTCCACCCCAAATGCTGAGAACAAAGTAAGCCTGTTGAGTGAGACAGGCTTGGGTGTGAACATCCACAATTTTCAACTGACATCTCATCAGATGTGGACATGCAGTTATGCGTGTTAGACAACTGAAGACAGCCAGTCGAGCATTGCAATGAGCATTTTTTTAGACCATGAGAAATCAGCTTACCTACAAACTCTACCTGGAGCTAATTCATCGCCTGAAAGTAATTACATAATCTTTCAGAAACTTGTGCAATCAAGTAGTCTTCACATAAAAGTAGACTTAATTCAGATCAGAAGTTACAATGGTGATGCAAAAGTCATAAAAATGAAAAAATTGTTATTTTCAATTAATAATTTCAATTTAATTGACTAAAATATTGACTATTCTAGTAGCTTTTTTTTGTTAGATTGGGCAGGGGTTTTTTTTCAGTTCCCAACTTGACAGGTAACATTGTATACATTGGGATGAGGCTGGTATAAAACAAGGCTAATTTTGCATGTTGCTTAAATGAAAGAAACCAATTCTAATCTTCTATATTCTGTGTTACATTATATGATCTAAGAATAATTTCATGAGTACACTGTAAGAAACGACCGTGAATTTAATGGTAAAAGACTGTAAAAATGCTACAGTAAAAACCTGTTAAATAGTTAACGGTAAATTCCCCTACTCTATACGGTGAAAAACTGTATTGTACATTACATGTATTGGACATTAATTTTACGGTAGTATACCATTTTTGGAAGTGAAAAAGACTGTATAATTTACAGTGAATAACCGTAAATTGACATTCCCAGAATTCCCTGCGTTACATTTCAAATTTGATGTTTTTTTGTTGAAATAACTATGTTTCTTCTTAGTTTTTTCTTATCAGTTTTGTATATTAGGGTTGTGTGTTACACCTAATGTTATTAAATGAATGTTTATTGCATTATTTCAGTTTCATGTGTGTTACCATGATGGTGTTTGGTGTTTGTGTGAATGACGCTGTGCACCTTCTATATATGTTATTAATTAAAAGCTGCTTGTGATGGGCTTTGGTTCATCGTGTGACTTTCTCATCTGCATTTAGTGGTTATCAGTGTATTACAAAGGTTCAAAACAGATTTCAGTACTTCAGTAGGTTGGTATATTAACATTATATCAGTTAATGAAATTATGGTATTTAACTGTAAATTTAAGTTAAAACCGTAAAACCTAAAACGTTGCTACTGTATTTTTTACGGTAAAATTCCGGCAACCACAGCTGCCGTTTTTTTACCATAAATGTTACAGATTTTTTTTACAGTGTATGAAATATCTTCTTTTGCAAAGTAGTATATTTACAACCTTATGACTTAATTTTAGGAGATATCAAACCACTCAACTCTCGAAGTCACCACCTGACTGGAAATGTTGACTTGCATTCCTGAGGGCTTCATTTCGAAATATGAAGCCTTAATCAACAGCAGCACACTGAAACACACTTCGCATCAATCCTCATGATGTCGATTGAAAAAGAAGCCCAAAGGAACCTGACATTATACATGCCATGACTAATTATTTCCAGAGCGCTACTTAGAAAAAACACAAACACTGCAATTAGATAACAGTCACAGTCAAACGGGGGGGATTTCTGAAGGATCATGTGAGTAATGATGCTGAAAATTCAGCTTTGACATCAGGAATAAATGACATTTAAAATGTATTCAAACAGAAAACAGTTATTTTAAATTGTAATAATATTAATAATATAATAATTAGGGTTGGGTACCGAAACCCGGTACCAATATGGCACCGTTACCCATGTAACAGGTATGTACTAGAACCGAATCCGAATGCAGATTTCGGCGCCATGCCCGAGTGATCGATTGAAATATTTGTCCTCTGGTTCTCCGAAACAGACATACGAAGCATCATCACCGGCCCCGCACGTGAAAAATAATTTCCCGACTGAGAAAATGCACGTGAACTCAAGTCGGAAAGCTCTAATAATACAAATCGTGAGTGTCCATGTTGTTTTCACATTTCAACTGAAAGCACAACTCGGGAAATGAGAGCATCCGAGGAGCGCGGGAATGCAGTAATTACACTTGCTCTGATGGCAGCAGGTAGCCTTCCGTTAACTAAGCTAAACATGCTTAAATTAAAATGCCTAAAGCTAAACTTCCCTTGTATTCACATTTCTAAACTTGTTGTCCAACAAAAGAGAACATTATAACCTTCTTACTCCACAACACCAGTCAAATGCTTCCTTTTGGGATCTGATGTGGCTTCTTGTCACAGAATGAGGCAGAAAATATGTTCCATAGGCTACTTTAAAAAGAATACATCGATTAGCAATGGATTATAAATATACTTAATTATTATGAAAATACCAGAGATGGCTTGAATAACACAGATAAACTATACTGTCGCAGTCGAGTGTTTATTGTCTTTGTTTTATCATTCAAAATGTTTATATGTTCTGGTTACAGCTACAACAGTGATGCCATATTAGGGATTTCCTGGAGGGTCATGAGTTCTGCTATTTCTGTGACTGGATATGTGGATTTTCTGTGTGATATGGCACCCTCTGGCATCCAGTATGAATGAAACAGACATCATGCGTTTATAGTGCTAATGGCCAATCCATAATTTTTGGTGGAATTTTTATTTATTTTTTAATAAGTATCGGTACAGGCCCCGGAACCGTTTTAAAAGTATCGATTTGGCACCGGTATCGGAAAAAACCCAAACGATACCCAACCCTAATAATAATATTAATTGTAATAATATAATATCAATGTACTGTATAAGCAAAATGGGAGAAGACCAATAAGAGAAAACTACAAATCAAAAGTCAGGATCTCCACACTTGAGTAATTCAATACATAAAAGGAACAAGTGAAGCTCGACCCCTCGCAGAAGAACATCCTGTGTTTGTGCTCGCTCTCACACACACACACACACACACCCATATATCTTCCTGTATCTATCAGAAGCATTAACCCCTGAAGGCAGAAGACAACTAATTAACAATAATGGATTAAGCTGTTAAAAAAATCTCTGAAGCACAGACATGTATATGCATTCGATTATCTGGCATGCATAATTGCAGACAAACCTGAGTGTTTTGTCTGCGAGCTCACAGAGCAAGTCAAACCAGCTGTGTTATCTTGAGAATCATTCAGCGATACATGTTTTTAGCTTTCTTAATTTATCCTCCTAAAATGTCTCTACATTCAAAATATACTAGCTAACATTATGCATAGGTATTGCCAGGCCAGTGCCTGGTGTTTTTTTCACTGTAACTGGAGCACCTGATGAAGTGGAGTTTCAGTATATATACACACATATATATATATATATATATATATATATATATATATATATATATATATATATAGTAACAAAATGTCCCTGAGAACATTCAATGACACGGTCATGGGACACTGAAACATTGCAGGGACCTTCTAGCAAACATGTGCATTCCTAGCTATACAAAATCAATATATTCAATGCACTGCACATTCATAAATGCATTCCCTTACTGTCTCTCCAGACACAGCTCTCTGAAGTAGATGGAAAATTGTATCATAAAGGAATGTTGTTTTACATTTTATGGGCTGGATGTGCAAATATGGCAGAGCTGGGTAATAAAACATTCATGGCTTTGAAGAATTACAGTTCATATCGGTGACACTAGACTGATTGGGGGCAATAATTCAGCTAAATCGCAGGGCTGTGACTGGCAAGGACTTTTATGGTCCACAAGAGGGTGTCAATGCTCCATGAGAAAGTAAAGCCTGAAACTTGTATTCTTTATGAATTAATTATGCAAGTTTCTAAAACGTAGGCATTACACATATTGTTTTACCAATTTGCAGCAATTTGAATTAATTTCGATTAACTTTCCAGTCACTCGTGTTAACTGGATACCAAACTTTGTTATTATTATTTTAAAAGATGTCATAGACAACACATTCACAAAGCGCAATTTCAAGCAATTTTTAATATTTTACAGATGAAGATACCTATAAAAAAAAATTACTATAGAAATTAACCAGATTTTGTTGATTTGCATGACTTTCCGTGCCTAGAAATCAAATCACACTTTTAAAAATATAATATTTCCATGTTTGCCATGACCGTGGGAACCCTGTATACTCAGAAGAAAAGGTACAAAACTGTAATTGGAGTTGTACCCTTTCAAAAGATAATATTATGCACACTTTAGGCACAAGTATGTCCTAATATAGCATTTAGGAATAAACATAGTACAAAGATGTACCTTTTCCCCAGCTTTGTACCTTTTTTCCCCTGAGAGTGTAGCATATTTGAATTCTATACTGAATGATAATTTCTAAAGAAACTGTCACGTCTATCTTACCTGGAACCTTGAGGTCTGAGGAACATGGGGTTTATGTAATGAAGTGTCACCTTTCTACAAAGAAATCGAGACAGAAACAAAGAAAAGTGACTTTTTGCAATTTACAACAACCTAAGGGTTCAACATGTTACTATGCCCAAAACGATGGCTAAACGGTCTACCCGAGGAATATATAACACTGCAAGCCTAAAGCAAGAAACTACTCTATTTTTTTTTTTTACTTTATCTAGTCTCCATTTCAGTAGGTTCTCGCTGATTTTTAGATTAGAAGACTTTCGAATATAAAATGTAATTATTCTTTTAGGATGACACTTTGATGTTACGCTGCACTTAGGGTTATCTTCATAGCGCATAAACCTATGGCATTCTTTAAATTCTTTGAACTACTTTCAGATTTCACAACTGGAAAGCGACTCCAGTATCCGGCACAACACTTGAAGAAACTTTACAAACCATGCAAACGCATTAAAACCTAATTTCACTACACTAAATCCGACTACGCCCAACTTCTAATATTAACCTATACCTGTTTTTTTAATAACTGATCCGTGTGTACAAGTACAAAGATCGACCTAATCCTGAAGTGTTTACATTTGTCAACTCTTTAAATCCTTTGATCACTTCGACTTGTTTTATATTAGAAGTTAATCGTTTTCTGTGCAGTTCCGATCATGATCTACTTACGATGCTTGACCAATACGCAGCGTACGCCATGGCGGAGGACGAGTCGTTTGAAGGTTAGAAGTTTGCTAAACTATTCCTCGAGTTCCGTTCGCCAGCTTCTTTCATTCAAGTGAGACGTGCTGCTGTGGCGTTCTCATAAAGCCACTCCCGTGAGTGAGCGTGGGTACCAGAACACTACAGATAATTGCTGCAAATAAATGACGGGGGCGGTTTATCTTGGTTTCAAGATGTGGTGAAATCGTTTGCATTACGTCGCAATGTGAAAGTTGCTGCTTCATTTGCATTACGCATTAAAAAAACCCATGAAGAGCGGCTTGAAGAGTCCTTGTCTGTCTAACAACACAAGCATTCCTTTGTAGTGATTGCCCAACACTGTGGTTAGGGGATGTTTCTGTTCCTCTGTGCAGGTACTTTATTTGCAAAATTCTGAAAGTTTTATTTTTAGTGGCATTTCTTAACTTTTTTTTTTAAAGGGGTCATATGATGCTTTTTTAAATTTCATTATTTGGTGTATTTGGGGTAACAGAATATGTTGACATGCTTTAATGTTCAAAAAACACATTATTTTTCAAATACTGTACATTATTGTAGGTCCTCTATGCCCCGCCTCTCTCAAACGCTTCGTTTTCTACAAAGTCCCTCCTTCCGACAAGCGCAGCCTGCTCTGATTGGCCAGCTGACCCAGTGCATTGTGATTGGCCGAACACCGCAAGCACTCGTCGGAAATGTAACGCCCCTTACCATAATCGCGAGCTTCATCTTTCAAAATAAATGTAAAGACAGAGCCCGAAAGGGGAACAGAGTCGCGTGACAGACACAGTGATGAAGCTGGTATGTGTTTGCAGTACACAAGCCACGGTTAAGACAGCTGACTCCACAGTGATGTGACGCTCTCTCTCTCGCTCTCTCTCTCACACACACACACACGATGCGCAAAACTCCACATTTGAACAGTCAATAGCAAATACTTAAACTAATAACAAAACAGTAGCTGATTCAGAAGCGCCAGATTGTCATAGCAAAGTCAGAATGACCTCCTCTCCTAGGTTCATGAAACGGTCGTCCAGAAAATGCATTGCTGTTCTGTTGTAAGTCATCTTAAAGATTCCTAAATGCATCTACTTCCGGAAGGCCAAATAAAGTGCTTTTGCTTTCGCCTAGAAACACACACTGTCTCCCTGACATGGCTGCTTCAACACTAACTTTATTTACCAGTGATTTTGTTAATTTAACAACAAAACAAAAACATAATGCGAACAATATACAATCAGAGGACAGAAGGACAGAGTTATTTCACAATAAACAAACTGAAATTGTAGCCTACATAGTTTGTGCAATTACAGTTATTTAAATTGAACGTTGAAAGATAATA